TTCAGTCATACTCTGGAAGCGTCATGCATTAAGCCGCGCTTAGTGGCACTGTGCGCCTTCGCCAAGTCCCCAAATTTCTGTCCGACACTGTGACAGTCGATCAAATTGTGCACTCAACCCAATGTCATAAAAACATGACTGATTCCCATGTTATACTAGGTAGATGTACGCCAGACCACGTCTCGCGTAACAGGCTTCGCGATATCTCACGAAACACTGTTACGCTGCGACGCGCCTGGCATACATCTACCTAGGCCTGCGGCGCTGACACCCGAGTCGGGCAAAAGGCAGAGTTGGTGATAGGCCTTCGGCTCCAAAGGACACAACTTTTACCCCCAGGATTTTATTTTGACGAGTTGCCCCACCAGAGACCATCAAATGTCTGAGAAACAACATTAAAATGGTTTGGGGTCATTTTCGTGTGGATGTCACCCCCTGGCGACTAAACGGTTAGAGATAGAGCCAAACGCACAAAATTTTGGCCCAAAGGGTTCTACTTTGACGAGTTACGTCTTAGGAAGATGTAAAAAAATAAAAAAAATTAGAAGTAATATTTTGGGGTATTCGTTTTTGATTTTTTTGACCGGTCAATTTTTAAGCTAGAGGGCTTAAAATCAATACAGTTCTTGCTTTTTATGCTACAAAGCTACGCTAAAAATGTCAGGTACCTAGCTCAACCCGTTCTCGAGTTATCGTGTTTACAGACAAACAGACAGACAGACACACAGACAGACAGACACACAGACAGACACGAAACTTTTTGATGACCACCACTGGAGTAATAGGCTTCGCTATCGCTCAGCCAATTATCAACCTTTGGAAGCCGTAGAAGCTAATCTTACTTTTCTGGTACTGGTAAATACATTAGCGTTGGGAGCTAATAGGCTTATGCCATGACAGAGCCTAGACTAACTATAGCTGCTACAGCTGGTAACGTTTGCCCATATCTGATGAGAACATTAGCTAAGACCATTATTGGCCGACTATATGTTAGCTGGGACACCTTACTTTTTTTTTGTCCGTGCAAGAGACACGTTTGCATTGCGGCCCTTTCGTTCGCCACAACCGGAGGCTGCGGCGGGACGGGATGATCCCGAATGATCCCTTCGCTTTCCTGACGCTTGATAAACGCCGTGGGCGTGGGCCGTCCGGACTGGACTGGGCTGGACAGCTGGACCTCGCGGGTCGGGCCAGGCAGGGCCGGGCCGGGAGCACCGTGTAAGTGGCCTTAACACGCTCATCTGCACGTTGCGTAATTCACGACTCGGTAGAGGCGACATCGCGACGTTAATTACCCCCGAGGAAGAGGAAGGAGGATAGGGCCTGGCCACGACCACCGCGAGGAATGAGGACGCCGCCGCTCGCCCTGGCGCCTCCTGGCACCCCCTCGGCATCAGTCATCAATGTTAGCGGTCAGGTGGGCTGCTCCCCTCCTCCCCTTTCCCCTTTCTACCCGACCGACGGGTATTCATAGTCGCGGGCGACGCGCGCCGGGAGGTGAGCCGAGGTGCTGAGGTGTGTCGAGTTAGGTTAGGTTATGCTTGGCGGTGGCGGGGCGGGGCAGGGCGGGGCGGTGCAGCTTGCCCAGGTCAGTGTCGCGTCGCTGCGTCTGAGCCCTGAGCTGAGCCGGGCGGCGTCCTGGCGACCCCCGCTCTCCGGCGGCAGGCTGGACTGGACTGGCTGCATCCTTCTCTAATCCTGTGCCTTGTCAACTGTGGAGACCGCACACAAATTGTCCTTTCTCTCGGCCATTTCATTGAACTATAAAGCCACAATGGAAGCCTGGTCGGACCGGGCACTGTAAACGAAATATCCTCGTCTATAATTTACAACATTTCTTGTAATTTTTATTTTCAAATTGTGTTGTAAATTTGCGACAGCCCATTCTAGCTTGTCGGTCAATTCGAAGTCGGTAAAAAAGTGCTTGTAAATTTAGAATCTCAAATTGTAAATTTATCACATCGTTGAAAATTTTCCCGTTAGCCCAAAACTATTTTTCAGTTGGGAAATGTAGTTTGCGCGGGAATAACTCTCCCATAGCATGGCAGACTCTAAAAAGACCCCCTAGGAAGGCAGTGAAAACTATCTCAACCTCCCTAAAACCTAAAGCAATTTCTACGCCTACAACCTGACGGCCGCTTGCAGACCGCGACTCGCGGGTCCGGCCCGGCCAGGCGCGGACGAGGTACTGCTGCCAAGGGCGTGACGACGGGCCGACTAGACTATGGCCGCGGCTTTCGCGGAGCAGAGTTGCAGCAGCAGTAGAGTTGTAACAGCAGCAGCAGCAGCGACTTGTTCGTCGCGGACCGCGAGGCAGAAATTGGTTGACATTGCTGCTGAAAACGCCGCGCGGCTCGCGACGCTGCGCGCTGGCTGCTCAACCCTTGCCGTGGCGCCGCGGCACGCCGCCGTGTGTCCCTCCCCACATTTTTGCCCCACGCCGACTCGCGCGACCCGTTTCATAGGGGCCAGGCCGGTTGGGGGTCGGCGCAGTGGCGGCGGAGTCTTCTGACATGTATGTCGATAACATTGCGCTCGACATGCAGCGCCGCGGATCGGGCGGGGTAAATGGGGTCGCCCCCCCCCCCTCCAGGAGCTGCATCCAACTTTGTGTCAGTTTGTCCGGTATAGTTTTACAGCCGGTCGTTTCGGTCGCACCGCGAGCGTCGCACGCAGAGTTGTAGTTTTGCCTGTTTTGTTTCGGGACGCGGGGTGCGGCTCTGCCCGCCTATGGACGACAAAGCGGCGGCATATGGAGACGCGTGCCGCGCCTCCCACGCGACGCCGAGCTCGCCGAGTCTGTATATGGGATCGCCAATGAAATCTGCTACAAAATTCAAAACATTCCGCGCGGGGATAGCCTAGGCGCGTTTCGCGATGCGGACGTTTGTGTCTTCCCGGAAGCGCCTCCCCTCCCCCCCCTTTCCCATGACCCCCTTGGAGTGTCGTTGCGTCAGTGTGACTTTGTAGTGGACTTTTCTCAAGTGCTGGGCCATGAGGATATGACACCTGAGGGACCAAAAGGTCGGGGTGGGGGTGGGGGCCCTGGCGCTGGCGCCGGCCGCGTTTCCTCACTGCTTCGCCGACACATTTTCTCCGACAGTGTAGAGGCGCGTCTTTGCTTTGGCGGTTAAGGTCAGGGTATGGAGATTGAAGATCCAGTGGCTGCTGCGGCACGGCAGGTGCGGCAGCGGCGCGCGTCTGCAGATGTGTGCGTCTCCTCTTCTAGAGGGGGCGGGGGGGGGGCGATAGCCACCCACAATCAGCCTCGTGTGTCCGTGGGTCCGTGCGAACGCCAAAGCTAACCGCGATAAGTCCGAGGCGGTCCCACGCCGCACACGGCACGCCCGACCCATCACGGCCTCCGCGCGCTCGCATAGTCCCCAAGACTGTCTCGAACAGAAGGAGAAAACGTGTTTTTATTTTTCTGTTTCGGTTAACGACGACGTTTCCCCCCTGACAACAGCTGTCCCGCCCGTATGGGCGCACAGGTACTAGTACCCGCCGCAGTTGAACAAGCAGCACACATTTGCCCTCACCGTGCCTTATCAGTGGAAAGGGCCGCCGAGCTGGGCGGGCCGGGCGGTCTGCGGCGGACACTGTCATTTCAACTGCGCTGCACGAGCGAACCGTCTGGCAATACGGGTTGCCGTTCACTTGGCCCGCTCCACCACCACGCTTCTGCGCCTCCCCTCTGCCTCCCGTGGCCTTGGGACCCCGCATCCCCCTCCTCCTCCTCCCCTCTGCGCTGGCGCCTACCCCGGTCGGGCCCCCCGGCCACCAGGTCTGTTTGCTCCTTGGGGCACTTAGTGACGTTGAGGGAGCGCGCCCGGCCTGGACGTGGACGGCGACAAAAAGCGTTCCTCTCAACGCCTCCCCTTCTCCTTGCTGCTGCTGCCTGTCTTAGCCTTCTCCTTCCCCCTCCCTTTCCCCCCGCTGCATTTGCTCCCCTCTGAAAACACGACGGCTTGCTTTGCGACGTGTTTTCCCTAAAATTGCGGCTGGCGTGTGCTGAAATATTAATTTCTTAATATACTTGATGTCTGGTAGACCTAAAATCTCATTTCACACACACACACACACACACACACACACACACACACACACACACACACACACACACAACAATTCACGGTGGTTCAAAAATGCAAAGGGAATTGCCTCCCTGCCGCACACGCATTTCCTTCCGTCCGCTTGGTAAACTGTTCTATTTACAGTGTGGCCCCTCCTCCCCCGCTTGCCCCACCCCATTCTTCTTACCCACACGCTCAGCAGTGCGCGGTGAAACATACGGCAGTCGGCCGAGCGTGACGCGAGCGTGTGCGGGGCGTGTTGCCGCGGGTGAGAGGGGAGAGCGGGAGATATGGACCGCCCTAGGACTTCGTTCTGACACCCCCGGTGATGATGGGGAGGAAAGAAAACAGGGGGTAAGAGGGGGGGGGAAGCCAAGCCGCCCTTCTAAAAGGTCGCTGTGGCCGCCGCTGTGGACACGGTCTACCCGGTTGTCTACTCGGCGTGGCGTCGCCGTCGGACTCCGGCTGCGGATCGATCGTCGATCGGCCGTGTCCAGCGCCCGGGCGAGGCGCGCCCCGTCCTTGGGAGGTCGTTGTCTGACGGACGTCCTTTTGTCTAGTGTCACGGCGCGTCTATGTGCGTAACTAGGCGTGTCCACCATGACTGCCCGTCTGTTATGGCGGCTTCCTCCGGTGGCCATAGGTCCGATTACGGGGCGGGGCGCGCGGGCGGGTCTCTGCGCGCCTGCAGGGTGCTGTGTAGGCCGCTCGCT